GGAGAGCAGGAGCGGACAGCAGAGATGGGGAGGAGAGGAGGGAGGAGAGCAGGGGAGGGGAGAGGAGAGCAGGGGCGGACAGCAGAGATGGGGAGGAGAGCAGGGGAGGGGAGAGGAGAGCAGGGGCGGACAGCAGAGATGGGGAGGAGGGGAGGAGGGAGGAGAGCAGGGGCAGACAGAGAGATGGGGAGGAGGGGAGGGGAGAGGAGAGCAGGGGCGGGGGGAGGAGAGGAGAGGAGAGCAGGGGCGGACAGCAGAGCAGGGGGCGGGGACAGCAGAGCAGGGGGCGGACAGCAGAGCAGGGGGCGGACAGCAGAAGGGACAGGACCCCAGCGGACAGCAAGAGGCGGCAGCCAGAGGGGCGGCGCGGCCAGGCGCGGGGCAAGAACGCTGCGCGGGCGCGGCGCCGGGAGGGGCAGATCCACGCGCGGGACTCACCACCGCGCTTCGCCTGCAGCGTCGGGCCGGCAGGGCTCCGCACCAGCAGGCGGAAGGGAGGCTGCGCCCGGAAATGAGGCGGCCGGAAGTTGGCGAGCCCCGGCTCTCGCGATAGCGTCGGGGGCGTGGCCCTGGGCCGTCCTCCTGTAACCACGGCGACGCGGCGGGCCGGGCGCCTAGGTTCTGGCCTGTTGGGCGTCGCCGCAGGGCTCCGGGGTCCGCGGGACCGCAGGTGAGGACGCCAAGGGCTCGCCGCTGTGCCCGTTCCCCTCACCGTCGGGGTGCGGCGCCGCCTTAGGCCTCGGGACGCCCTTGGTGCGCCCGCCGCAGTGTCCCTCCCAAGCCGGGCATCGCCCTGGATCCTGACGCTCGCTGTGCGGACGGTGGAACATAACGTGAAAGTGTGGTCACCTTACGCCTCATGGGTCCTGAGCTCTGCCATGAGGTCACCCTGGCAGGATTGGGGGTCCTGAGCTGTGCCCTGGGGTCATCCTTGCAACACTGGCGTCCTGTCCTGAGCTGTGCCCTAAGGTCACTCTAGTGTGCTTGGGTACCTGAGCTAGGCCCTGGGATCAACCCTGTGTCCTGAACTGTGCCAGGAGATCACATTTGTATACTTGGGGTTCATGGATTGTGCTTGGGGTTATCCTTGCACACTTGGGGGTCCTGAGCTGTGCCCTGAGATGTCTTCCTTGTGCCCTTTGGTCCTGAGCTATGCCCTGCTGTCATTCTTGCTTCCTTGAGGATCTTCAGCTCTGCTCTGGGGTCACCCTTGTTCTCTTTGATATTCTGAGCTGTGCTGTGTGGTGACCCGAGTCCCTGGATTCCAGAACTCTACCCAGTGGCTACCCCAGGTTGACCTGAGCTTACCTTATCATCACCCTTTTATACTTACACATATATTTTACTTCTCAGTGGCCAGATCCCATCTCTGGTCCTGTATCTGCACGAGAAGTGGACCTCATACACAGGCCCTCATGTTATGAATTAGCATCTCATCCAGCAGTTGTGGTCCCCAAATAGCCCTGCACTTCTCTGCCACCCTGTCTCCAGAACCTGTGTCAGCTGCAGAGCTGATCTGTGGTGGGCATTGCTCTCTTCCCGCTACTCACTGCTTGTCTGTGAACTCAATGAGGGCCTGAGCCCTGTGGTCTCTGCAGATGTGCCCTCTGTGAATTTGGAAACATGAACCACACTGGCCAGCAGGAGAAAGGCCAATCAAGGAAACCTATGTTGAGGGATGCTTTGGATCAGGCTGCTGCACAGATAGGAGAGAGTGTCTGCTGTCTCAGTTTCCCCCTACGTAGCAGGCCTCTGTTACATTTGGTTTGGGAAAGGAAAAAGAGGTCAACCAGGATTGTATCTTGTTTTAGAACAAGGCCAGCATCCACTGGCCACCTTGCTCTGAGGGGCATGCCCAGCCTCCAGAAGGGACAAGGCTTCTCAGGGGACAAGGCTCAGAGCTCAGCCAGAATGAAGGCCCCTGGCTGGGCAGGGCCTCCTCCTCATAGCTCAGCATCTCAAGAAATCCCAGCAGTGAAGAACCACTCAGTCTTGCTCCAGGACAGTGAGGAGGCGTTGCCTTTGCAGGGGAAGGAAGCTCCTGGTGGGGCAGGACCCCCGACATGTTCTCAGAAGGATTGGCAGCAAGGGGAATGAGACTGTCACAACAGACCTTGCCTGTGGCCATGTTGCACGCACAGGGGCTCAGGGTGCCTGCATCCTTGGGTTGGGGGAAACTGCCACTGACCCCAGGGCCCAGAAATCAGGTACTGGCCCCTTCTCAAAGCCTGGCTCTGGAGGCCCTGGTTAAGCCCCACATGAGCCTCTGGTCAGCTGCACTAGCAGCCTCAGCAGCACAGAGGAGGAGGCCAGGCCTTGAGAAAGGTGCAGCCTCCCTTTGCCTCAGGGAACACTGAGGGACGAGGTGCTCCAGGTGGCATGGTAGAGTGGGCAGGAGCTGGTGTGCTGGATAGTGCAGCGCTGGCAAGGCAGATAGTGCAGAGAGGGTGTTTGCAGCGTGCTGGCTCCTGCTGACAACAGCATGTCACTCAGCACCTCCTGAGTGCACAGGCCAGCACCTGGGGGTGTCAAGGTAGAACAGGAAGAGTCCTGAGAGCTTCCAGAGAAGGAGGGCGCTGGGAGGTCATCACCTGCACTCTCACGTGCCTCCTGCGACAGCGATGGGGAGCAGCCGTGCCTGTGGCGTGCCAAGAGTGCACGCGCAGGGAGCTGTGCAGGGGCCTAGGATGAGGGGTGCAGGCGATGTACCTTGCCTTCTCTGGGCAGTGTCTTCCAGCTTTGCTCTTTTTGCTGCTGGGTGTGGGTGTGAGTGTACTTTAAGGCCTCTCCCTCTGGGGAACACTGGCCTCCTGCAGAGCTGCTGCAGAGAGCAGGGCGCAGGAGGAGAGTGGTGGTGCAGGTGGAACCCACGGTGTGGCAGCGTGCCCCGCAGCAGTTGGGGGACTTCAGGGCCCTGGTGTTTAATTTTTCAGAGGGCCCTTTCTTTGGCAGATGTAGTGGGCAGAAGGGGATCTTCAGTTTGGCTCTGAGAGGGCGTTGGGAAGCCTGGAGAGCAAGGTGGGGGCAGCAGGCTCCAGAAGCCACAGGGCCAGGCGTCTGACGCATGCTCACGATGAGAACAGGGAGCCGTCAGGAGACCTGAGCTAGCGCTCAGCTACCCACACCCCAAGTGTGGACGCAGGTGGAGTGGACCTGCAGTGCTTCTCCATGCCTGGGCATGGGCTCCGCTGTGTCCCAGGCGTGCAGGGACATTTGTGCTCTCACTGTGTGTGGCAAGGCCTGCTTCTGTTCAGGGTCTGTGACAGATGGCACATCTGGGTGGCTGGTCCACCTGCCATGACCTGTGAGTTGTGGACTTGCACTAACCCAAACTTCTACCACTCTTGGCAGTACTTGTGACCAGCAGGTGGGAGGCGGCCATGGGAGGCTGTGAACCAAAGGAGTCATCTGGGGATGAGAGTGGAGAGTGAGTGTGGGCTGTGGGGACGGAGCCCGGGGCGTGGAGGCCATCACACACAAGGGCCTGAGTGTGAGGGTGCCAGCCTCACGTCTAGGTCATTTGGTCAGCGCAGCAGTCCTCTCACGGAGTCCTTCACGCAGGGGGAAGGCAGCTTCTGTTTCCAGGARCCACAGGAGGAGCCCCTGCCTCAGAGTCCCAGCCCTGCCCGCCAGAGGACACAGAGGAGAGCCTGTCTCCCTGCCCCTCTCGAGACCAAGCCAGGACGAATGCACGCGCAGGAGCCCTTCCTGGTCTGCACTGCCTGCCCCTCTCCTCCAGGGTTCTGCAAACCCACTGTGGACATCTCCCTGGGGGCCTGCAGGTGTCCAGCTGGCCTGGGCTTCCTCCGTGGACACTCTTCCATGACCCTTGTCATGCCTCTGCCCTCAGTCTTCTGGGCACTGAGAGCTCTCAGGCAGCAGTCGGGCAGTCCCTCCAGTCCCCGTCTCCGGGTGAGGCCAGGGCAGAGGACACGCAATTCCTGACCCCCACAGTGCGCCTGCCTCTGCTGGGGAGTGACGTTCCCTAAGGGGAGCCCATCACTGAGATCTGTTTTTGTTCAGAAAAATTTGCAAGATTTCTCTTTTTAAAAAACGTCTAGGCTTCTGATAATTTCACAATTGGGTCCCACCAGAACACGGCCCGACTGTCACAGTGGACTATTTTGTTAAAAGGCCTCCATTTCTGGCCACAAAGGGAGGGGAGGGAGGAGTCGCTGGGGCAGCTCTGGGATCCCTGGCCTGTGGAGGTGCCAGGGCTGGAGGGAGCCTGAGCCCTCCTGTCCTCAGCACGCTGAGGGCCCTCTGGGCACTCTTCACTCTACATACTGCAGTAGGCCCAAAGCTAAAAGCAGCAGCACGTTGGTGCACGTGGCTTCTGTGCAGCCAGCGCCAAGTCCCGTGTGCTCCCCTGCTGCCGATMGCAGCTGCTGTGAGATGATTTTGGGAGGAAGCCTCCTGGCAGGTGCTGAAATACCCAGCCACTGCTGCAGGCAGGCCCACTCTGCCTTTCCCACCACCCTACCTGCCTTCTCCCTTCCCTGCACGTGGGATTTGGGAGATGAGGCCAGAGGACACTCTGGGGTCTCCAGCACCTTGCCAGATGAGACTTCAACAGCAGCCACCCACTCTGCACGCACATGAGGAAGGGAGGGACCTGAAGGCAGAGGAGGGGTCCTTCTGGCCAGAGCCACCAGCTCAGAGTAAGTCGAGGCTTCACTGGCTTGAGGCGTGTGCCCTCTRCAGACTCTGTCAGTGCTGGCCCGAGGCCAGCGAGTCCCTGTCTGCAGTGCTCGAGGTGAGCGAGGTCTGTCTGTACTGAGCAGGACAGGCTCAGGCCTTAGGGCGGCTGCAGGGCACCTGCCTTCACCTGAGGCTTCCCTCCAATTTTTGTTTGTTTAAATCTTGGAGGATCAGTTTTGTTCTAAGATTTGTGACTTATCAGGCACCACCTCTGCTATTCTGGAGTGTGGCAGGAAGGACAGGGGAGAGCAGGGCAGGGGTGGCCAGGAGAGTGCAGTCTGATGTCTCTCTCGGGGGGAAAGAGGCCCCTGGGCCCAGGCAGCTCCTGAGTCCAGGCCTTTGATGTCCTGCTGTGAGGCCGGGTCCAGGGGCTCAGTCCTCTTAGCTGTCCACTTGCCTCAGAGCCGCTTTGTCTCCAAGTCCAGGGCCTTTCAGCCCTGCTGTGGGAGCCGCCGTGTCGTGTCTCTGGCCGAGGGCCATCTTTCTGGCTGGCCTGCAGCAACAGGGCTGCAGGGAGAGTCGCTGTGTGCAGCTGGCAGTCCCAGCCTCCTGCCCTGTGTCCTCAGGGGTGCAGGCTCCGGGCCCAGCTGGGGGGACCCCACAGWGGGAGTGTACCTGGGGCATGTACCTGGGAGGTCCTGCTGCCCTGCCTCCCGCTGCGACCGCTCATCCCAGAGCTGGGTGGGTGGGCACGGGGGCTTCGTGGGGCTGTGCTGCAGGGGTCCCCACATGCAGACTGCAGGGAGGAAGGGCAGACAGGCCGCCCTGGTGYTGCCCTCTGCCCTGACTGCTKGGCCTCCTCAGGCCGCCGGTGCGCACGGGGCAAGAAGGGGAAGGTGCCGGGGACAGGCTCTGGGCACTGGTCTTGGGGAAGCGAGGGGAAGTGGCAGGCTCTGCAGGGCGAGGGGGAGGCCCAGACCCTGCACAGACGGTCTGAGGGAAYGGGGGAGTTCTGGTCCACCCCGGGCG